CCACGAGACTCACCCATTTCTCGTTGGGAATCCTTGAATTCCTGTTGTTGAGTTTCAATCTTCACTGAGGGTCAGTCATCAACTGTTTAAGTGTTCAATTATCAATAAGCCGAAGTCTGTGGAAGGCCATAATGGCCCTGCTTTAAGTGGTTCGCTACTCCCACAGCTCACCACACTGTCTCTGGCTCTGCTGCCATCCTGGATCTCGATTTTTAAGTTCTTGTACCTCTTTTCTATACTATTAATTCTTTCTTCTATCTTTTGCACTTTCTTCCATAGCTGTTGAAGTTGCTCCTCTTCAATATATTTCTTCTGGATTTTTGTCTCTGCGGTATTTGTTTTGTTAATAGTTTCTTCAAATAAATCCAAATCAACATATTTCTTCTGGTTCTCTCTATCCAGGGTACTCATAGGGTCCACTATTTTGGAAGAAGGGTTATTTTGTTTCTTTTTAATAACTGAGGCAGATTGCTCTTTTTCTTGACATTGAATATTTTACTAGTAGATGTTAAGTTGTTGTAACTATATAGTAACACGGAGTATGGTAATGTTTTGTGAAGGACCTGTATATTTGTGCACCCTTCTTGGCCTGAGGCCAAGAGCAGTGATTCCCCCAAAATGCCTGAATGGGAAACCAAGAAACTTGTTGTTCCCTTCAAGAACTGGCAACTCTCCCTCACTTGAGCTGCTCAAACTGTCCTGTTCCCTTCTTCTTGAGCTTAAGGGGTCCTGTATGGTGTTAAAAAAAAGCAGTCACTCTCCCAAGGTCCTTGAATGGGAAACCAGGAAGTCTATTGTTTCCTTCCACAACTGTGGGTCCCAGCCTCACTCCAGCTGCCTCTTCCAGCACACTGCCTCTTCCTGTCGTGCTGCGCCTCTTCCTACCACATGACTCATGTGGTAATTCTATGTGTAACTTTTTGATGAACAACTATATTATTTTCCACAGTGGTTGTTACCATTTCACTAGCAATGGATGAAGGTTCAAGTATTTCCACAGCCTTATCAACACATTCTGCTTTTGTGTTTGTTTAAGCATAAGCAACAGAATAACTGATTGTGGTTTTCTTTTGTCTTTCCCTAATGATTACTGACAGAGTTTTTTTCATATTATGATAAAAATTTAATTTCTTTTTTGGTAAAATATCTATTCAAGTCCTTTGCCTATTTTTCTTATTT